TCAGCCTTCCATTCTTCTGAGGTTGGTAAAATGAGGACCCAAATTGTTGGGGACAATATGCTGGCTCTGTAAACTGCTTAGGGAGGGCTGCAAATGTGATTTGAAGTGGCTATCATCCTAAAATGAAGCTAAGAGAATACTGTATTTTGAGTTATATTTGAAAATGTTAATATTGTATTTTCAGTCTTAAGAGCTTAAATGAAATACATGCCTTTCAGCTTTAATTTAAAAACAAATCCTAATGTTGCTCTTACCAACTTCATTACTACTTAAATTTACAAAGAAAAAAAATGTTTAAGGAGACCTTGGCATTATTAAATTTAATTAAACAAATCAATGTTATTTAGCATTAACATTCCTTGGATATGTATTAAGATGTCTTGTCTTGAAAAAACCTGGTTTGACTCTTGATTTTAAGATGAAAACTGAACTTCCAAGGTAGATTATGCTGCAATCAGAACACAACTCTTTTCTGAAAATATCTTATTAGTGGGTTAAGGACTGAAATATTTGTATTTTGGAAATTTTGCATTATTTTCATCTATACTTTTTCTTTGGAGTGCAGAATATAGGTTATAACCATCATGTCATAAACTACGGCCAGCCACAGAGCTTAAGTATTAACAAGCTTCCTTATTTTGAATTGGAGGAACCTATGACTTTTCCATCAAATGCTGAGGTTGAAAATATTGAATCAATACAAGAACGGCGTGAGACAGGAAGTGATGAAAACTCAGCTAACTTGCCTATTGGAAGAAGAGATTTTGATAGTAAGTTATATTTTCATGTTACTGCAAAACAGAAATATTACCTTAATTTGCTGAAATAGTACCATGATAACTGTTGAAATGAATAACTGTGGCCACCAGTGATATGAAGCAATCTAGGTAGAGGCAAATTCTCAAATTTCTCAGGTGGTTATTTTTCCTGATGTATGTGACTAGCTGATCTGCAGTGCAGGTAGTTCTTGACTTACAATTCATTTAGTGACCTTTCAAAGTTACAACACTAAAATGTTACTTATGACCATTTTGCACAGTTACGACCTTTGCAGCATCCCCATGATCGTGTGATCAAAATTCAGATGCTGGCAACTGGTTCTTATTTATGGCCATTGCTGTGTCCCACGTGATCATCTTTTGACAAGCAAGGTCAATGGGGAAGCCAGATTCTCTTAACCATTGGGTTACTAACTTATCAACTGCAGGAATTCACTCAACAATTGTAGCAAGAAAGGTTGTAAAATGGGGAAAATTCACTTACCAAATGTCTCCCTCAACATCTGAAATTTGGGGCTCAATTGTGGCCATAAGTTGAGGACTACCTGTACTCCCAACTTTCACTTGCACATTGCAGTGGAGGCTCAAGAAGAGCCACATAGCTTGCCCTCCAGTTTTGCTTTCCACCTGCATAACTTCCGTGGCACATGTTGCCCACCATTTCCTTTTGGGCAGTTTGTTCATAAGCTACAACAGCAGTTTGAAGCCAACTTTAATTTGTCAGCAATCCTCATGCTGCTAGGCCAGTTGTGGAAGTCGCAAGGAGCATCCAGCCAGAGAGAAAGAGAATTCGCAGATTGATGCCTTCAGGTTAGTTCTATTGTCCAGATGCCCAAATGTAAGTGTTTTCCTAACTTGGCTTAGCAGGAGAGACCCAATCACTTCTCCCTCCTCTCTCGTGAGCTGCCTTTTTTCCATCATCTTTTTCAATGCATTCATTCACACAAAAGGTAGCCAAGTTTCTCTACCAAACTCCTGAAGACTTGGAGTGCCTTAGAAATCAGCCAAATTTTTAGCTCAAGCCTGCTCGGGAATAAACCAGTGTTTCATTCACCCATATATATTCAATTGCATCTCTATGTATTTACACAATTAAAATATACTCAGCTGCCACCCTTTTATTATCAAAGGACAACTGTAGCACTCAATCATCAGAATATGCTTCTCTGTAAAAGAAAAGTTTATTTGTTTTTCTCAGTCTTTAAAAATTGTAGGTTGCACTCAGTCTTTTAAAGAGTGACTGGTTAAATGTAAGATATAAAAGATAACATGTTCTAAATATTTATTAGCAAAAAATGAGTTAAAATTTCAAATGAATAAAAATTTACTACAGATGACAATGTAGTTAAACTTGTTTATAAAAATACTTATGTGAGAGTCAAAACCACAAAATTTTGGTGTGTTTTCTTTAGTGCTGAGATGTATGCTGGGAAGAGTGTATCGACCTTGTTGGCAAGCCTAAAACGACCCTGAAGTGAATCACTTGGAAGAGACAAGCCCTTTCCTTGATAAGTCACAAAAATTGTAATTGTGGTTAAAATATTGCTATGTGTTTACTGTAAGAATTCTAAATATTTCTATGTCAGAATGCCACATGTGGAAACAAGTGTAAAGTTACAGTGCATTATTAAACTGAGAATTCTGCATAAAACTTGATGATTTGATTTTTATAAAACTTCTGCATAATCATGATTGCAATAGAAATCCTAATATAGCCAACTTTTTGCCTTTTTAAGCCACTGACATTTACAACCTAAAGAACTGAGTGAGTTTCGCTTGTCCAATAATAAGCTTATTTTTGGGTATAGCCTTTTTGGATTTTCTGGTTTCTTTTAGTTTGCTGTCCAAACTATTTTGGCATATCACTTGCATCTTTGGTTTCTTATGGTATATATGCTGTGGTGTTTCATTTTCATTAGTCAATATGACATTTTCACTCATTCTTTCCACCAGCTTTCTCTTTGGGTTCTTGTTTTCTAGCTGGCAACTTAATTTTCCTATTTCTTTTCTTCTCCTTCCATTCTGACAAATACTTCCAGAATCAGTTCCGAGTGTAGTATTTTCAAGTGATGAATTCAGGCTTTCTGATGGTTAAGAAAACAAAACATTTTATAAGGGAAAAAGAATACACTATTTTTTAAATTGCTTTTGTTGTACACTAGCCACCCCTGGTAATTTTCAAAAGAGACAACATTCCTGTAATTGAGTTAACTAAGTCTAATTAGTAGAGATAATTGAGTTGAAAACAACAATATACAAGCTGAGCCATCACCCTTGACATAAAAAATACTTCAGCAACCACTTCAGAAAATAAACACGCGTAGAAACAAGAGTACAAGAAGCCATTCTTTTTAAAAGCATGCACAAATTATTGAAAAACATGAATAGGATTTTGATGCAGTGGCCAATCACCAAAAAGTATTATGTTTTACTGTTGAGGAATCCCAAGTGTACTTTATCAGCCACTTAGCTGGACAAATTCAAAAAGTCAATCTTGTAATGACACGGGTGGCAACAGATATTAATTCAGGAGAAAACAACAGCAAAGAGCCTTGGAAACGTTCAAGATAAACGAACCGAAAACTGCACATGCTTTTATGATTATGGGAACTGCTATAGTTTATCAATGTTCACTAAGTTTATCTCCCAGATATTTTTTGCAGCACTTTCAATGAGGTTTCAATTATTTACCACTAAAAGCAAACATAGAAAATGCCTTAAAAATAACAACAAGCAATGTTATTTTCAAATCTTAAAAGTTTGATTGCCCCAGAGCTTACAGTCTGCTCTAAAAGTAGTGCTACTTTATGTGCTCAGAGATGATTCTGTGTCAGGAAAGAATAGAGAGGTAAGACTTGTGAGTGATGCAAGGACAAGTGGGCATACTTGGATCCAAAGTGAGCAAAAGTGCTTCAGGACTGGTACTTGTTGTATTGTCTTAAAGAAGTTCAGGTGGTTTTTTTTTTTCATGACAGCCTCTTGATCCCAGAAAAATATGTTTAAGGAAGCAATGATATGGAATTGTTAGGCTTATGACAATAGCATTTCAAAATTCTCCATACCCTTTCTCTCTGCTCAATCACAACAGACAAATTCCAAATACACCATATATTAGGCTGATTTAGAAAGTCCCATAGTTTTCATAATAGACATAAAGTCTTGAGATGATCTTCTCAGCATGGACAAAAAAGTTTCATAGCTCCATCATCCTGGAACTCTACCTTGGTGACCTAGACCATGAGGAATGATTCACTAGAAATACTATGTCCTATCTCTTTGCTCCTATATCAGTTACATGAACTCAAAACTGATATTAGATTATGAGTTAACATAACGGCGAAAAGCATATCCAGCCCGCCAATCTAGGTTGATACTTGGTCAGACTCACAGAATGTAATCAGATCAAGTTCAGCTGGTCCATCTATGTAAGAACTGGTAATAACTCCATTGGCTTTCTCGTTGGGCATTTAGACTTATTATGACCCAATTTAATATTTAAACTACAAGACCAGAAGGCAGATGACCATAATCTTGAAAAATGAAGAGGAACCACCAACACAAAATAACTTAGAAGTACCTAACCAAAGTTCTTCTTAGCTGACCTTAGTCTCTCCTGCAATGACATACTTCCTCCTACCTACATTACCTCTCATTCTCTCTCTCTCTCTCTCCTCTTGCCCAGGCCACATCGTGCTATCATCTACTGTCAATAATTAGCTCTTGAAATACAACCAACCAAATAACATTTCAGCAGCAATTAAAACAAAATGATCTGCCTGGCATGTCCTCAGCTTTGTGGTTTTGCCCTTTGGTGATCTCACCAATTATGTCCTTGTCACTCCTGGACAGCAAACCCTTTTTTTTCTGCCCTACAATTGTTGAGGGTCTTAGAGAATGCCAATGTCCCCAGAACTCTTTAGAAGTAGCAACAAGGTCTCTGTGGTATATCCAGTAGGTAGAATGTAACAAAAAAACCCACAAACTGCCCTGACAAGCAAATATTCTCTTTTTCACAAAGATGGCATATTTTGTGCTGCAAAATGGTAGTAAACATCCACATTTTAGAATTATGGATGATTTCAGGACAATATTGATCATTCTCATATTACCATTGTAAAGAAAGTATAGGAAACAACCAAGCTGAGCCCAAGGGAAGGAGTCAAACACATAATCAGTCTTGAGTCCCTTCCTACAAGAGATCTAAAGCCAGCCCACTTTGATTTCTATTCTTATCCACTCATATCTACAGCCTCTTTGCTTTGAGATTAGTAGTTCAGATTCTTATAGAGATCACAGGCTTGCAATCACTGTTCCCTCTAAGCTGCGCGGGTGCACGGCTGCGCACGTGGCAACACGTGGCAGTTTCCAACTGCCGCCCAGTGGTTTTTGTGAGATGCCTTCCACGATAATAGGAGGGGAGAGCCAGCCTGGAGACAGCAA